TGTGGAAACTTTCGACGGAAAGTTTCGGCCAGATTTTGAGAATTTCAGTCAGATTTTGTTAGAAGGCGATGTGAACGATTTTATTTTTTCAGAAATCCTGCCAAATGTTCCTCTTGGACTACACCACACACAACCATTGTTTGCATTAAAGAATGCTAGGGAATGTCACTAATCATCGTCCGTGTCCTCGGAGCACTCAGAGCCACTATCGCCGTAATTGGCAGGCCACACTTTCCGCTCTCGACTTCCCGAGACAAGCACTCCTGCCAGACCTGAATTCCGCGCTCTACACCGCATCTTTTCCCTTGAATTTGTTACGGTGTCAAACTGGATATCCGTCGCATAGCTGGTTTGAAATTTTCTTCCGAATTTTTGCACCAAGAGTGGAAAATCCAATTTCGATGATTTCGACGGAAAGTTTCGACGAAAGTTTCGAAAACGAAACTTTCGTGGAAAAAAATCAAAATTTCGGCGAAATTCTGAACCTTGGTCGAGAGGCACATGCACGCGCATGAATAAAGTGAGCAGTCAAATGGGTACAGTCTGACCCATTTGTGTACCCTTTTTTTCCCTTGTTATCTGTAAAATGTTTTTGCCTCATACTTTTCCAGTTTCTCACCGAGTATGTCGTAGGTTTCGCTTCTTGATCACTTTCCCTTGTTCTTGCTGCATTGATGTTTTTACTCTACAATTTGCCAGGCCAAGATTGCAGACTTCGGACTTGTGAGGGCAGGAGAGGGCACCACAGTGGGCACTACTCGAATTATGGGAACACCAGGCTACGTGGATCCTGTTTACACCAAGACATCTAAGGCAACTTTCGCCAGCGATGTCTACAGGTGAGATGGGACTCCTATGAATATCATGACATGAGTTTGATGACTCTGGGAGGTATCTTGGAGGTATCAACAGATGATACAGGATTATCTTGGAACCTGTTAGGTGCTACATTAGCATTGGCTTGTGCAGTGAGTACTTGAGTTGAGTGCGACCGCGTATCATAAGCAACTCACCAACATAGAGCCATATATTTCTTTCTGTTTTCTGAATCTTGCCGTCTTGATGCCATCTCTTGCTTTTTGCAGCTTTGGTGTGCTCATTCTGGTGGTCCTCACCGGACAGGCTCCACTCATGGAGTCTTGTGGAGAGACCCGGCAAATCACATCGTGGGTAAGTACAAGTACCGTAGCCAACTTGTTGCCCCCAGCCCAAATCGGAAGCCGCACGCTTGATACACAGCGCGTATGAAACTGGCTTAGGTGCCGGGAGTCACTGGGGTGTTGAAGGTGCGCGGTCCCTGTCAAGCTGGAAGCGAGAAAAGGCTTGGAACTTTGAAGGCCACAGGAGATCTGGCGGTCGAGAATTCAATTGTTCATTCCATCATCACCTCCCACCACTGACCCCGTTCCCTTCTTATGGTGTTTGTTAGAGGTTTCCCCCTTGTGATTTTTGCTTCACTTTCGCTTTCCCCCTGGACCCAGCCCAAGTCTGTCCACACTGCATATAAACCGATTGGAGTAAATACTGTATTTTCGCAAGTGAAGGAAAAGGAACAACTCCGATGCCTCAAATGATCGTCGTCAACTCATCACCCCTCTTGTGCTACTTCCTCCTCTTCCTCCTCTTCCGCTCCCTCAGGCATCCGATTGTGTGTCCTCGGGTCACTTGGGGGGCCTCAAGGACCCCAAGATGGACGCCCCTGGGGATGCTGTGCTGCGGGTGGTTTACCTGGCAGTCAGCTGCACTGAGGAGCGCACTGCAAGCCGGCCAAGCATGGCTCACGTTGCCAACGAGCTGCAGGCCATCAGGGATGAGGTGGCGGGGAAAGACGAGCTGCGTGCTGCTGTTAAGGTGGACGCTCAGCTCCTCGAGATGAAGAGTACCTTCAAAGGCGTTACAAGTTTCGAGGATGAACTCAGGATGATTGGAGAGAGCTTCTCCAATGAGGACTAAGTCAAACCCCGCCATGGGTGTGCTACTTCGCCAAGTCTCCTTTCCCACTGTTACTGTTCCCTGCCCTATTCTCTCTGTTCCATCCCTTAGACTCTCGCTGTCTTGTTCCCTGCATTAGTCTCTCTCCCTGCCTTGGCCTCTCTCGCTGCTTCCGACTTAGTCTCTCAATGTTCTCACCCATAGTCTCTCTCGCTGTTCCCACTCATAGTCCACGGAATCTCGCCACTCTCTACCCAGTTTGCCTCGTGTCCTGGTACTACCTCTCCACATCACCCCACCTTCTGCTCCCTCCCCCTTTTCTCGCAAGAGATCTCGCTACTCTACAAGCCATTCGTTCCTCGGCTAGATCCGAGAGCGTCATGCTGCCCAATCTGCTTGTTTCTCTGTTGCTGCATCCATGTTTCTTTAGAATAGTAGCAGACAGCATGCTCAGGCTGTCAGATGTTTCTGGATCACGCCTTGTTCAAGTCACTTCAGAACACAAGGAATAAATGAGGGGTTTTCTAAAAGTCTCTTCATAGCTAGTCAGTTCTTTTATCTTGGTCCCTGATTTTCAAAATCAAACTTGATTGCCGGACATCAAGACATTCCGACATGCACTATCCGACATTCCGACATCCAAAACATGTGCACCAGGCCTCAGGATATCAGGGTAAAATACCCTTACGGCCCTTATAATAAGGCTGGGGTAGGTGTTGGACCCTTATTTTTAAAATTGGTTTAGTTTTTGACCCTTATGAAATAAACTAGATCTGTAGGGGACGCTATTTTTTCAGAGTGGTCGAGTGTAGGGACCCTGATGCGGAAAAGTGTTGTGTAAGTCCACCCTTACACAATCACACATGTGATCCCCGCTATAATCATTTCTCCCCTGGCCAACCTATAAATTTCGGCTAAGTCCCCCCTATCCGAGAGTTATTCCTCCTATACCCCTCACAACCCAAGTTTTCGGCTAAGTCCCCCATTGCCAAAGACATCCCTCCCTCAGCCCTCGAGCAACCCTGAAAAATTGGTGAAGTCCCTTACTAGCAGATACAGAGCTCCTGTAGTACGGTACTCTCGCAACCCAGACGATTCGGCTAAGTCCCCCACTAACAGATTCAATCCTCCCGTACCCCTCGCAACCAGGGCTGACATTTCAAAAAAACTCCCCCTGAGCTATCGACTTAAAAATAAATTTACCCCGAGCGGTCTGTTCTAAAAAAATGTATACCCTGAATTTCTCAGGGTTCAGAGAACGCGATCAGGGTGCCATTTATCGAAACGGAGGGGAGGGGGGGGAAGCGAAACAAAGGGGGAGGGGAAGATCGAAACGGAGGGGAGGGGGGAATCGAACTGGGAAAAGGGTGTCAAATGTAACTTAGGTCGTTACTGTAGACTATACTGGATTGTGCCTTAGAGGATACAACACCCCAGCCTATATACCCTTGTACTCACAAATTCTAGTTTACTTATTCATTCTGATATGGTATCATAGTAGGTTAGGTCCTCCCCTAGCCGCCCACGCTTTCGCCCCTAGGCCCTAGCCGTCGTCTTGCCCCTCTCCTAGCCGGCCCCTGGCCGTCGCGCCCGTCCCTAGTCGGCCCCCCTGACCGTCGCGCCCGCCCTAGCCGACCCCCTGGCCGTTCGCAACCGACCCTAGCAAACCACTGGCCGTCGCGCCCGTCCCTAGCGGCCCCTGGCTGTCGCGCCCGTCCCTAGCCGGCCCCCTGGCCGTCGCGCCTATCCCTAGCCGGCCCCCTGGCCGTCGCGGCCGTCCCTAGCCGGCCCCCTGGACGTCGCGCCCGTCCCTTGCTGGCCCCCTGGCCGTTCGCGCCCGTCCCTAGCCGGCCCCCCTGGCCGTCGCGCCCGCCCCTAGCCGGCTCCCTGGCCGTTCACGAATGACCTTACCAACCCCCTGGCCGTCGCGCCCGTCCCTAGCCGGCCCCCTGGCCGTCGCGCCCTTCCCTAGCCGGCCCCCTGGCCGTCAAGGCCGCCCCTAGCTGCCGTCGCGGCCGCTTTTAGGCGGCTCACGGCCGCCCCTCGCCGTCGCGGCCGCCCCTAGCTGCCGTCGCGGCCGCCCCTAGCTGCCATCGTGGCCGCCCCTAGCTGCCGTCGCGGCCGTTTCCAACCGGCTCACGGCCGCCCTCGCCGCCGCGGCCGCCCCTAGTCGCCATCGCTGCCGTTCCAGCCGCCCCACGGTCGCTCCCGCCGTCGTGGCCGCCCCTAGCCGCCATCGCGGCTGTCCCTGGCCGCTGTTGCGGCTGGCTCTACTCTTCGTCGCGCCAGCTCCTAGCCGCCCCCCCCCCCCGCTGCCGCCGTTTGCTAGCCCCTCGCGTCCGTCGCCCGTCGGCCCACCCCGGCATTCGCGTCGTCGCCAGCCCGCCGCCGCCTCGGGTCGGCTCGTTCTTCCCGATCAGCACCGCCCTGCGAACCTCCCAGGTACCGTACTAAACCGCCTTGCACCGCACTGCACCTCACGTACTGCATTGCACCGCACTGCACCGCGCCGCACCGCACGCACCGCACTATACCGCACTACGCCGCACTGCACTGCATTGTACTACTCTCCACTGCCTCAATTGTCACTGATGGCGGAGGTGCTTTGCTTTGACGCTGAGGGCCAGCCGATTGAGTTTGATGCGTGGCTTGCTGACCTCCGTCGCCACCTCACTGGTCCAGGGCAGGATGGCCACCTCTGTATGTCCATCTTGACGGTACCTCCCCTGCCCTGACCCGCGCCGCTGCACTGTCTCCTGACCCTCGTCCGCTGAGCGTGAGTCCACTGCGGCCCTGCCCTTGCTCGCTCTGTCTGGCTGTCCGTGACGCTGTCGCACAGCTTGCTATTAGAATGCCCTCCCCCTGTCCGAGCGATATCGCTTCAGGTCTATCACCACTACCCAGGCTTTCCTAGATGCTGTTGTCCAGCACTATTCCACCCCGCCTGCTGCCTCGGAGTCGCCTGATCCTCCCCATGATCTTCCCTGACCTTGCGTTTTCCCCACTGTCCGACCTGGCCGCTCACCTGCGCATATAGACGAGACCTGCGTGCTGCCTGCACTCCACACAGCTTCTGCCACCAGCCGCCCTCACCTCTACTCTCTACCTGCTGGCTACCCCGCCTTCCTGACCGCTTGCCACTGCCCGTGACCGCTTCCTTAACGTCCACCCCGGAGACCTCACCCTCACTGACTTTGTTGACACCCTGTCCGTATAGAGGCCCGCCACCGCTCTATCGCCAGACCAGCGGTACTGTGCTGGTCCCTATCTTTCAGGGTTGCGTCCCCGCTGCAGGTCCCACCTCTCCGACGGCTCTGCTGCTGTGGCTGAGACTGCCGCTGCAGCACAGGTCCGTCCGGAGAAGGGTCGCCGCCCCAAGGCGGGGCGTGACGGCGGAGGTGGGGGTGCAGGTGTAGGTGGTGCGGGAGCTGGGTCTCCTGGTAGTGGTGTGGACGAGGGGACCCTGACAGGTGCAGCCGAGCAGCCGTCTCAGCAGCCGCCGGTGTTGCCGCCGGACCCACGTCAGCCGCACCAGTCGCAGCAGCAGCTGAGACGGGCGAGTGGTCTCCCGCCCGGGTGGCCTGGCGCTGGTGGTAGTGCTGGACGTGGTGGTGGTGTGCGTGGTGGGCTGCCGGGCGGTGGTTCGGGTGACGCGCGCTGTCAGTACCTGCTCCAGACCGGTCCTCGCCGTGGCTTCGTTTGCGGTAAGATCGGCCACACCTCCGTCCGCTGTTTCTGTCGCTTGGACGACCTGTTTCGTCAGCGCTTCGGCCCGACGCCCGAGCTCCCAGACTGGCACAGTTTGCGTCGTCGTAGGGTTCAGATTTTTTATCTGGATATGGATGAGATTGTTACTGCTCTGCATGTGATGTATGCTGATGAATCTAGTGTGCTTCCGTCTTATTACCCTTTGTTGCCTAGTGTATGTGTGCCTTGCTTAGACTCCCCTGCTGCGTCAGGCGTAGGATCCCCTGTTTTCTTTAGCCTTGGTGCTTCCGTCGCTGCTTCGCCTCCGGCCGCCACTGCCGGGCTCTCCTTCACCCTCGACTCTGGCGCTTCCCGGTGCTTCTTCCGCGACTCCACGATGCTGACACCGCTTCCTGTCCATGCCGCAGTCTCTCTTGCTAACCCCTCCTCTGGCCCTATAGTCGCTCGCAGTTCCACCACCCTCCCCTGCCCGGCGGTTCCTTCGGGCTCGCTCACAGGACTGCACATCCCCTCGTTCTCCAGGAACCTAGTTGGTGTCGGCTGCCTTCAGGACCTTGGCGTCACCATTACGTTCCCTGGACACGAGCGGTACGCTGTCTGTACCGAGGCCGCCACTGGTGCCCCCCTGTCCACGTTCCCACGGAACCCGGCGTCCGGTCTTTTCACACTGGACACGGTAACCCCCCCGGCTGGGACCCCCCCTCAGGTGACTGCGTCTTCCCCGGTTGCTGCTGCCTGCTCCTGTTGATCTCTCACTCACCCGACTCTTCTCTGGCACCACCGCCTAGGTCACCCTGCGCTCCCGCGTCTGCGTCAAATGTCACAGCACGGTCTCGTCCTAGGCCTCCCCGGGTCGTTCTCTGAGTTTCCCTCCTCCCCAGCCCCACCTTGCACACCCTGCATCGAGGGCCGGCTCCGCCGTGCCCCTCACTCCTCCTCGTTTCCCCCTACTGCAGCACCGCTACAGACTCTGCACATGGACGTCAGGGGCCCCGCCCCCTTCCATGGGCCGCGTCGAGAGCGCTACTTCCTAGTGCTTGTCGACGACTACACGTGCTACACCACTGTGTTCCCCTTGGAGCGGAAGGCCGACGTGCCTGCCATTCTTATCCCGTAGCTTGTCTCTGCGCGTGTCCACCGCGGTCTCTCTGTCTTGCGTCTCCACTCCGACCATGGTGGCGAGTTTGCCTCTGGTGTCTTTGGTTGTTTCTGTCGTGCGGAGGGCATCACCCAGACGTTCACCTTGCCGGACTCCCCACAGCAGAATGGGGTCGCTGAGCGACGCATCGGTTCGGTCATGGAGGTGGCTCGCACCTCCATGATCCATGCCGGGGCACCCCATTTTCTGTGGTCGTTCGCCGTTTGCTACGCCGCTCACCAGCTTAACCTGTGGCCGCACCCCCGGCAGCCTTAGGTTTTGCCGACCCTCCTCTGGTCTGGGTCACCTGGTGACGCGTCTGCATTCCGCGTCTCAGGCTGCCTTGCTCACGTTCGTGCCTCTGGCACGGACAAGCTCACTGCCCGCACCCTTCCCCGTGTCTTCCTCGGCTTCCCCCTTGACGCGTCTGACTGGCACTTCTACCACCCGCTGTCTCACTGGTTCTTTCACTCCCGTGACGTCACCTTTGACGAGTTCGTCTCCTTCTTCCACCGCTTCCCCCACCGAGGTCCCCTGGTTACCCCCCCCTGTTCCTGGTCACCCCTTCCCCGGTCGTCGCCACCCCTCCTCCTCCCCCTCCCCGTCTTGCCCCCTCTGGTGTGTCCCACGTCACCCCACTTACGTTAGTTGTCCCAGTTGAGGAGTCTGCTGACTCTGGTGGTCCTGCGGCGCAGTCCTCGCCGCCTGCCCCTTCTCAGGTGTCTCCTCCTCCACCGCCGCCACAGCCGCCG